TTATCGCATTTGGCTAGGAGAGACTAACTTAGAACTTTTTAGGGGATGTTTTTTTCTCATCCGAATGCAGTATCCAACTAGATGTCCATTTAATCAAATTAAAGAGATAAGTGTAAATATGAAAATTAGATGCGAAACGAAATGCATTCAAAATAATTGGGTTATGTTGGATTGAAAAGCGAGTTTAGATGCACTTGGTGCAATCCAAAAATAACTATAAGTTCTCAACTGAAACAATTAAAATATTTGGATCGAGTAACATAACACAAAGATCATGTCTTAGCTAGCAAAGAAAGAAAGATCTCGGGGACGTGTGAATATGTTTAATCCACCTTTATCGACAACAAAATCAACATTTCATTTAAATAATTAGTGCTTGATAATCTGAAATCTCCCRGACGTGTGGAACGTGAAGACCACAACATAAACCAAAAACCATATTATTTGTCGAGAAATGCAATAAATAAAATATTAAAGAAACTCGCGGGAACACCATCATACATTACATGGATTCCACAGAACGCGGACATGTTTTCAACACACAAACCACCAAATAAGAACATTTCCAACATTTTCCTCCAAATTTCCTTTCTTTCTTTCTTAATTTTCTCGGAAAACGTTAGAGAAAGAAAAATTAGGGATTTTCACAGCAACCCAGAAGAAGACGAAGCGTTTTTTTCTTCGATTTCTTTCAATTTTGAAACTTTGTGTGATTCATCGACAAATTCTTGTTAATTTTGGAATTTTGAACGATTGATTTGGGATTTTTTTCGGATGTTCAGGTCAGAGATTTGTTCTGTTTCGGTTAATGCTCGATTGATGGATCCTTGAAGATTAAAGGATCTTCATTTTCAGGTTTGGCCTCGAAAACCCTAATCTTTGCTTCTTCTAGATCTATGAATCTATAAATATTCTTAGCTGCTAATGTAATTGAAATCTCTCATTTTTCTACAGTGTTGTTTGGCTTTTGAGATATAAAAAAGAAAAAGTGATTTGAGGATTTGATTACAACACAACATTGTCTCTCTAATGGAGCAATTCAGACAAATCGGCGAGGTTCTTGGAAGTCTAAATGCACTAATGGTATTACAAGACGATATCTTAATCAACCAAAGACAATGTTGTTTGTTGTTAGACATTTTCAGTTTAGCTTTCACAACGGTCGCCGAAGAAATCAGACAGAATCTGAAACTCGAAGAGAAACACACTAAATGGAGAGCTCTTGAACAACCTTTAAGGGAGCTTTATAGAGTGTTTAAAGAAGGAGAGTTATATGTTAAGCATTGTATGGATAATAKTGATTGGTGGGGTAAAGTAATCAATCTTCATCAGAACAAAGATTGTGTTGAGTTTCATATACACAACTTGTTCTGTTATTTCCCCGCGGTTGTCGAAGCCATTGAGGYTGCAGGGGAGATTTCGGGTCTCGATCCTTCGGAGATGGAGAGRAGGAGAGTTGTTTTCTCGAGAAAGTACGATAGAGAATGGAATGATCCTAAGCTTTTCCAATGGAGGTTTGGGAAACAGTATCTTGTACCGAGGGATATTTGCATTCGGTTTGAGCATTCTTGGAGAGAAGATAGATGGAATCTAGTGGAGGCGTTACAAGAGAAGAGGAAATCGGACAGCGATGATATTGGAAAGACCGAGAAGCGTTTAGCTGATTTGCTATTGAAGAAACTAACCGGTTTGGAACAATTTAACGGGAAGCTTTTCCCGAGCTCGATACTTCTTGGCTCAAAGGATTACCAAGTGAAAAAGCGGTTAGGTGCAGATGGACAGTACAAGGAGATTCAATGGCTAGGTGATAGCTTTGCAGTGAGGCATTTTTTCAGCGATCTTGAGCMGCTAAGTTCTGAAATCTCTTCTCTTTTAGCGCTTTGTCATTCGAATATACTTCAGTACCTATGCGGATTCTATGACGAAGAAAGGAAAGAATGCTTCTTGGTTATGGAGTTAATGCACAAAGATTTGCAGAGCTACATGAAGGAGAATTGTGGACCAAGAAGAAGATATCTCTTCTCTRTTTCCGTMGTGATCRATATMATGCTGCAGATTGCAMGAGGAATGGAGTATCTCCATGGAAATGATATCTTYCATRGAGATTTAAACCCAATGAACATTCTTTTGAAAGARAGGAGTCACACCGAAGGTTATTTCCACGCGAAAATCTTTGGATTCGGTTTATCTTCTGTCAACAAAACTCAGTCTTCTTCTTCTCGGTCTTCGTCGAGACCAAACGCTCCTGATCCTGTAATCTGGTATGCACCTGAAGTTCTAGCAGAGATGGAGCAAGACCTTAAAGGC